ACTTAAACAGTGAGCTGTTAGTTTCAGACTGGCAACTAAATATTCCCTGCATCACTGCTGGTAACTATCATGCATTCACAATGCTATGAACCCTCGATGTTCAAATTTTACTATTATAAACTTGCTAATTTTATAAATATCATTATTATTAATGAGATACAGATCAATGCATATAATTGTTCCATTATTTAAAAGGCAGAATACCTTTTATTAATATAAATATTATATACTATAAATCGTATTACAGTTTTTTCCAAATGTTTACACACATTTTCTGAAAATATGTCTCATATTGTCAGAACTCTACACACAAATCACAAAACACACACACACATATTGGGCAAAACTCTTCAATTCTTCTGCAAAATGAAACTCTACGTTCAAAACAATTTGATTTCTTCTCAAAATGGTCTTTTGTTTTCAAATGACACACACAAACCATCACATGAATAGACATTCATAAGATCAGTTGAACACTGATGTGCTTAATGTAAAACACCATGACCACTTTTTCTCCATTCATCATAATGACTTTCTGTAAGCCTTTTTTTGCTCAGACTTACACTTACTACAGACAGTACATAGGCCTACAGAAGTGTATTGTAAAATATTTCAGAATATTGTTTTTATACAAAACAATCAAATACCAAATATAGTTTACTGTATTTTCCCCACAAAAACTGTGTACACAGTGTTCATGCCAACCAACACAAGGTTGCAGATATCGTGGTCTACATATACCATCACTAGAAGTATTTACTGAATTCAGTTACAGTAAAAATAAAAAATAAAAAACAGCTATACTGCATCCTCTTTTCTGTTTTGGTCTGGCCAAGCAGTGGGGGAAATGTCACTTTGCATGGCAAATCCAGTCACGAAAAGCATCAACTGCTAGAGCTTGGAGAAGGGGTATACGTTTGTGGGGATTTCGGTCATACACTTTACATCTCCAAGCAGAAAAATAAATCCTCAATAGGTTTGAGGAATGGAGTATTTGGTTCAGGGGGTTGGTGCATCAGTTATATGTTGTAGTCATTGTGTCTGAAGTACAAGTAATTGTGTGTAAACAATTGGAAAAAACTGTAACGAGGCATTGTGAATTTCTTACTTGTTTTAATTGCTTTGTTGGCAAAATGTGAACACAGCTTGAAACAATAGTTAAAAACAAAACTTCTTTGCACAGAAAATAAAATGAATTTGATGTTTGCAGTTGCTCTCAAGAGCCTAGCTTTGTTTTTTGACCCATGACATTACAGTATTCATGATTGCTAACACACTAAAATTAAACTTTTTCCCACAATTAGCCAAACCGTACACTTAAGGAGCAAAACACAAGGCTAGATTTGCACAACTGTAAGCACATTGTTAGCTTCACACCTTTTGCAAAACATTACACACAGTGATATGCAAATCACTAAACACACTTGGATGCTTTTGACACAGATATTTTTCATGATGGTATTTCCTTGCAAGTTCAAAGCAAAAGCCTTCAAATGAACCCACACACGAACCATAGGTTAAACACAGCCATCAGGTGTGCACACACACTGCTGCAAAACTGTAGACACACCAATCAGCTGGAACCACCATAAAAAAAACAACACAATCTCATTCTGAAAACGTAATCCTGGGGACGTTTCTGAAGAACGCGATTTAAGTAATCGGAGGAACAAATGGCTGCATTTAATTTTTTTAAGCGAAGCGATTTTACCAATTGGTAAAACCGGTTGGGTTTAGGTAAGGAAGAGGAGGGTGGGTCGGCTAATTGGCCGGTCGCCCAGTCAATCATTCAGTCAGTCAGCCAGATAAACGGTCACTCGACAGCGGCCTCCGGTGGCTTTATGTGAGAACAGCGTGGGCGCTTGCAAGAGATGTTCGAGAAGCGGAAAAAGCGTACACAAAAACAATATATTGTTATTCGCGAAAATATATTATTCGCGAAAACAAAAACTGCACAAATACGTACCTACCCAGACGTATTTCGCAGTCGATTGAATCATCCGTGGGACTAGGTTGTAGAATGAGCCTGGGTTTTAAAAACAGCAATAGGTATAAACTATTGTTATAACATGTTTACAGAAGTATAGGTTTAAATAGTAGTCTTCAATGAATTTGTTTTATAGGAGCTATAAATATTAATCTTCAATAAATAAGCCAATGTTGCAGTATGGAAGAGGAAGCACGATAGTGAGGAAGATTGGTAAACAGGAGACATTGGATGGATTTTTTTTTTTTTTTACATTGAAATGTATACATCACCAGAAAGCTGAATAAGTAAGCTTTACATTGTTGCATGGTTTGTTAGAATAGGACAATATTTAGCTGTCAGTCTATCACTGTTTGTTGAATACAGTATGTTGATGTACTTTATAGCAATACCTCTCAAATACTCATTATATCAGTATTAGTCAGTTAAAAATGATACAAGAAAACAGATTTATATAGAATGAGGCGTGTGTGTTCTGTACGGTGTCAAAATTGTGTTTTGTTATAGTGTTGTAAAGTTTTGGATGAAGTGTTTCATTTTGCAAAAGTCCTGAGTGTTCTGCTGTTTGTGTGTGTGGATGTGTAAATTGTGTGTGATGTTTTGACAAAATGAGCCTTAATTTCAAAATTGTGCTCAAGCAATCAGAAAAAAAACTGTAATGCTAACAATGTTCAGGATAATGTTGTAAAAGTTACTGTGAATACATTTACTTAAGTATTTACTTAATACTTAAGCTTCACAAGCAAAAGAAAGCTGAGGAAAGGTAGAAGGATAAGGTTTAGGGTTAGGTGTATGTGAGTTGTAAGTGAGTTACAGTAAGTGTTAAGGTTAGGGTCATGCTAACCATGTGGCAGTATCAGTCTGAACGCATCGGTTACTCTTTCCTTCTCACATATACAATCTCATTAGAAGGAACAAGGAACAATTTAACCTTAGTCCAGCCTATTCTGTCAACTGGCTGATGGTCACTTCTCAGGGTACATGTCTTACTAAAAGGAGAACTTGAGCCCTGCTGAGGCTTTACAGTAGATATGACCCCTGCTTTAATAAATAAAGGCAAATGTAAAGCTGGGCTGGACAGTGGCTCAGTGGTCAGCACTGTTACCTCACAACAAGGTCGCTGGTTTGAGCCTCGTTCGGGCCAGTTGGCATTTCTGTTTGCATGTTCTCCCCATGTTCAAGTGGATTTCCTCCAGGTTTCCCCCACAGTCCAAACACATGCACTAAAGGTGAATTGGATGAACTAAATTGGCCATAGTGTATGAGTGCGTGTATGAATGTGAGATTGTAATGGTGTTTTCCATTAATGGGTTGTGGCTAGAAGGGCATCAACTGCATAAAACATGTGCTGGAATAGTTAGCGGTTCATTCCACTGTGGCGACCCCTGATAAATAAGGGACTAAGACGAAGGAAAATGAATGAATTAATAAATGTCTCATATCAACAGCACACTGGTTTATAGTATATTAACAGTATTAGGGAGCACAATTGTTCAATTAGACACTAACCTAGTATAATAGAGCAAATAGTATGATTTTTAAGGCAAAAATCTGAAGCTGGTTTTACAATGGTGTAAGTTTTTTTTTTTTGTTATTATTTAGAGAGTGGGTTTAGTGCTTCAACCTCGCAAACAAGTAGATCTATTTCTTCGCCAGTAAAGCATTTAGTTTTTTCTGCTTACAAAGTCTACCATGTAAACAGTTCCATGACTGCAACTTTGTAACAAGGGATGGGATGCTGACAACAGGGGTGCGGATCCAAATGCAGGTTTATTAGAAAGGTCAGGCAAGCAATGGTCAACATGGGCAAACAGAGGCAATCCAAAAACGTTGTCAAAGTAACAGGTGAGTGGTCAGAAGGTAGGCAGCAGACAGGGACAAATAGATAAACAAGGCAAGGGTCAAAACATGGCAAAACAAGACAAAGGAAACGTGTTTTAATGTCACAAAATGTAAACAAGACTTGGCGACTAGAGTGAGGTATGTGCTGCCTAAATAGGGTGTGTAATCAGTCCTTGACAATCCTCCGGTGGTGTGTATGCAATCAGTCAGGATCAGGAACATGTGTGTGTGAGCGGAGTGCATGTATGGGGTTGTACTCAATGAAATGGCGAATTTGTAGTCTGTTAGCGATTGTGCATGTTTTTCAGCAATCTATTGTGTTTAGATCGCTGGTGATCATGACAAACTTACCCTTAAAGGGAATGGGGGATCAAACTCTGATTGTTTTAATACACGTTATCACCTCAAAGCCATAAGAGAATAAGGACAACCCATTTAGAGATTGCGCTGGACACAATGCCATTTTTCCAATCCTTAAAATAGCAAAAATGGATTTGGACCAGCTTTAAGATTTTTAAAATAGAGCCCTGTGAATTTAATAAAATTTAATAAAAAACTACAGATGGTGCTCTGTGGAATTTGAATACTGTCCTGAGTCATAGCTGGGCACTGTGGAAAACCAGGGATGTCTAAACTCGGTCCTAGAGAGCCGGTGTCCTGCATAGTTTAGCTCCAACTTGCTTCAACACCTGCCTGGAAGTTTCTAGTTTACCTAGAAAGAGCTTGATTAGCTGGTTTAGGTGTGTTTAATTCGGGTTGGAACTAAAATATATAGGACACCGGCCCTCCAGGACCAAGTTTGGACCCCCTGCACTAAACGGTCCCACTGATGTGCGTACACTCTTAGAAAACAGGTTTTTAAAGATGTGCTGTGCTTCTTGTCCGAGTTACTCAACTTACAGTAACACAAAAAGATGAGCAGAAGCCCTATAGACATCAACCTGCATAGGAAAGTGGATGCTAGACAGAGAATAAAACATTTTCTGAATCGTGCCCTATAGGCTCTGCGTAGACATGTAACCATGACAACAACTTTTCACTGTGCAAGTTGTGCAAATCTAGACGCTGCGGTGAAGTATGTGAATGGATGTTTTTGTATGGGTGAAAAAGAGCTTTTCTGGACTGTCAGAGCAGAACAAAACAAGCACACACACACTTCCTCGTGTCTCACCTGTATGGCTGTGTTATTGTCGTCAATGAGTGTGTCAGACACCTCCAGGTGTCCCTCCTCCACCACCTTCTGAAGAACCATGCGGAATGTGCCGATTAACCTGTTAACGCAAAAAAGTTCAGTCAGACAGTTGTTAAATAACAATCTCCTCTCACGCTGGTTTGGCTCAATGTGCAAGGAGCTTGTAAGGGTCGTGTGTTTCTTGTGAAGAAGATATATTGTGACAGCTTTAAAGACCCAGTGAAAAACAGCAACACTGTGAAAATATGTGAAATATTTTTCCCTTGTTAAAAAATATGGTGTTTTAGGCCCCATTTAAACTAATACGTTTTAGTTTTAAAATCCATTTTTTAAGTTTTGCTACAATTAGGCCTTCCGTCCACACAACCCCAGAGTTTTCGAGCCCTAAAAATGAAGTGTTTTGAAGAGGCCGTTTTGATTTTAATTTCCTGCTGCTCCATGTTAGTGTGGATGGGGAGGGAAACAGAGACTTCTGAAAACAGAGGCATAGCTGCAGACATTCGCTTATCTGATTGGGGCTTTTTCCTCAATATTAGGCTAGTGCACTTAGTTCAAGCTCAAGTTCAGACTTCACAAGTTTGATATGGAAAACAAACTTCCGAGGACACTTCAGATAAATCTTCAAATGGACTTTATAACATCATTCACGTCACCCTGGCTGCATTGTTTCACTATCTTAACAATAAAATAAAAACATGATATAAGGCACTGCTTATTTTCATTTTGATATTATATGCTGAATATCAGAAATAATAATGAATAATGGCTATTATATGTATAACATACAATACGTTTATACAATGTAGGAAATAAAAGCAAGCAATCAGTCAATTGTGCAGAATCAGCGAGGTTACATAAATTATTATATTGACTTTCTTTGCACTCAGCCAAAACGCACTACCTAAAAACAAGTTATAGATTCAAAAGACCAAAGAGTCATTAGATATAGACAAGATCAATTAAATATCAGGTTTAACAACTATAGTGAGATGCCATCCAGCGGAAGATAATTGGTTAACTGACTGACGTGCACCTCTCATCTGTGGAGGTGTGCTCAAAGCACCTGCTGACTGCCTGGGGCATACGATGCAGTGCATGCCAGAGTGTGTGTGTGGTCATGTGACCTGCGTTTTTAGCAATGAAGTGTGAACACTAGGTGAAATGCCAGTGTGGACGTGGATCATTTTTGATCTAAAACACAGTTTTAATACTAAAACGCATAAGTGTAAACAGGGCCTCAGAATGTGCCCAAAACTTTCAGCTAAAAATACCACACAGACCATTTATTAAACAATGTGTGTCTCTTTAAATGCAAATGAGCTGCTCCTCTCCAACCCCTCTTCCAGAAGAGGGAGGTGCCAACTTGAGCATTGAATAAGCTGGCTACAACAAATAAACAAAAAAGCTAATTTTAACTCTTTAACTCTTTTTTGTTTTTGACTAATATTTAATTAAATTGCGTTTCTGATACCACTTAAATTTTTGTTTAGTTTTTTTGTTTAAATGATACCCTATAAGCAAGAGGCCAACCGGGCAATTGTGATGCCAGTTAAAGAACTAAAGTCTTGTCGTTATAAACTCCTGTCCCCGTAGCGTAAAAAACATCTTTCACATCAAATCCATTTAAGGTTATGTCAAAAGTACATAAAAACACACATCATTTTTTTTTATTTTCTTTGAATGTTAACAGCTGGGGATCAGTTTATTAGATATGCATACCTGTCAACCCTGCCATTTTTCCCGGGATTCCCGTATTTCCCATATTTCTCCCGTATTTTCAGTCTTTCACTGAAGGGTGGCAAATAAACATTAAAGAGCCAAGCCTCCCTATGCTCAACCCATACTGCCGAACCACCAGGGGCCGCCCCTTGCTCTTAAATGTGAGTCTGTTTTATGCTTTTGCTTTGTTTAGGCATGAAAACACTTTGAAATAAACATAGAAACTGCTTGATTACCTTCCTTTTCATTATAAGTGCCGTCTCCCCTTCATATGCAATCCTCAAAACAGTTATATAACGGTGCATGACTGTCAGCTGACAAGCTCAATAGTGATAAATAGACGCTGTTTCCTAAAGAGATTCTGTACACACGATTTATAGCGGAGCAAAAGTCTGGGTTTGGGGAGCGTGTTTAAACAGATATACACATAACTAATAATAATAGTATCTAAAGATGTTGATCTTGGTGGGTTTTTTTTAAACACAAGTAATTTCGTCTTAAATGAGCATAAAAAGTTAGGAAAGCAATCGAATGCTTTTATTATAACGTTAGATGTGTGCATTTTTAAAGTGACACATACCTGTTATTTAATGTAATCAACAACAAAAAAATCTAAATAAATCATTCATTCGCTACGCTGTAATCAGAATGTGTAAGTCATACAGTAGAGAAATGGCTAATGAGATTTGATAACTTGATTCTATTACATTATAATTGCTATTAATTTTAATAAGCTGAACTGTTTGCTATTTTACTTGCTGCCAATGTACTATTTACTTATTTTCACATCCCAATGTTGACAGGTATGGATATGTGAAACAGCATCTCTCAAACATGCTGATAAAACACTGCTAAACCAAAACAAAAACAAAAGAAATTGTGACACACAGTCCCTTAAAGAAAATCTGGAGACAATTGTTGGAGTTTACTGTATGTACAGTTCTCATAAAGAAAATAATCACACTTTTTATGCTCAAACAACAACATTAAGCACTACATATTATTATTATTATTATTATTATTATTATTATTATTATTATTATTATTATTATTATTATCACGTTTTAAAAAGGCAAAGTTTAATTATTTAGCATTGTTACTTCACCGCCACGTAATTGTTTAGAAATGCTGATTTGGTGATCAAGAAACATTATTATTAATCTTATTATTACTATTATTATTATTATTATTATTATTATCATTATTATTACTGTTGTTATTTATTCATTCTTTCATTATCGTTTTGGCTTAGTCCCTTTATTAATTTGAGGTCGCCACAGCAGAAAGAACCACCAACTTATCCAGCATATGGTTTATGCAGCGGATACCCTTCCAGCTGCAACCCATCACTGGGAAACATCCATACACACTCATTCACACATAAACTACAAACAATTTAGCTTATTCAGTACACCTATAACGCATGTCTTTGGACTTGTGGGGGAAACCAAAGCACCCTAAGGAAACCCACATGAACAACGGGAGATCATGCAAAATTCACACAGAAATGCCATCTGAGCCAGTCGAGGCTCGAACCAGCGACCTTCTTGCTATAAGGCGACAGCGCTACCCACTGCACTACCACGCCACCTATGACCATAATGTCTACCCTTTAGTTTAGATGCACATAGACGAACAAATCAGGGTAAAAGAAGATCAGCAGCAGACATATGAGATAGTGAAGTGTCTTTGCTCTGATTGTTAATTCAAGACTGTGTCAGGCACTGAACCAAATAAATCAGGAATTCTAGAATGACCAATTAAATGTCACATGTAGTTAGGTAACCCATGCTCTCTCATCTATTACTGCATCACTGTCTTAAGGCAGGCGAGTCTATCCATATAGTCAAGTGAGGTTGAAAAACATCAATCCATTTTAACGGCAAACAGTTTTAGGAACCGCCTCTGAGCTACAGCTACAGCTTTACTGGAATGTGAAATGACACCATTGTTCAGCCAGAGGGACTCGATATAAGAGGCAATTGTGATTGATATGTGCCCAGTTCACTGGAGAAATGATGGCTTTGTGACTGTCTGTGAACTGTATGCGTCCACGGGTGAATAATTCACTGATCCTGGATCAGGTTCTGGCTCCCGATCAACTTTTCTAAAGGCCCCACATACATTATTGATCTTCTGAACAAACAACAGACAATTGACTTTCATCTGCTCCATAATTTACTGCGTCCCGCCTTGTCAAGTCACTAGTCTTTTGTTGGAGAGGTCAGAACTGGAGAATTCACAGTCCTTTTTGCTATCTGTGTTTGTGTACAGTGTGTGTGTGTGTGTGTGTGTGTGTGTGTGTGTGTGTGTGTGTGTGTGTGTGTGTGTGTGTGTGTGTGTGTGTGTGTGTGTGTGTGTGTGTGTGATCATATCATACTAGAGATGATATAAGTTGTAAGGGTTTGCACGATATATTGTTTTAGCATCGATGTCGCAATGGTTCGAAAGACCCACCCACCCCTCACTGACAAAAGTCCACAAGTCCCTTACATGAGCTCATTTGTCCTTTTTTGATTGCTATGCCATCATAAATTGTGAAAATAACCCATCGAAAAAGGCTTTAAGACCAAGCGAAAAGCTCTGTTGACCGTCACATCGGTGTGACTTCAGCTAATCAGTTTTGGCAAATGCTAACTATTATTTTTCATGAGTCCAACAGCCAGCTGTGCAAGAAAACATGCAATCTGAAGTCATGTGAAGTAACATCTATTCTTGATCTGGGACCTTATTTCTGAAACAAAAAATTACCATTTTAATGTTTCAATTTTTGATTATTTAAAGGACCAAATTCTGACTGAAGAAAGTTGAATGCACAGGCCAGTTTGTTATTTGCCTAATAAATTACAATAGAGTACAGTTTTTAATTTAAAACTTTACCGGATTTCTATTTTTTTCTAATGTAATACATTTGTATTTTAAAAATAAGTGTTTATTCATTATTCAGTATTTATTTCGTTATTCTAAATCTTTAGGAAATATTTTGGTTCATTAAAACGTGTGGTTATGATGACCACCCGACAATCTAATCCAGGTAAAACTAGTTCTTAAAATGTCACTAATTAAATAGAAAATGAGGTAAATAACTTTAAAAGATTCACATTTTGAGAAAATATAACCACCTTTTTCACCAGGCTGGCTACAGGCCTGCCTAATCAGTTTTATCAAGCAGTTTATGAAAAATAATTAATTTGCGGTTAATTTACTTATCCATAACATAGGCTAGATTACTTTTCCTTTATTTCCTTTTTTAATTTTTTTTAAAAACTGAAACCATGGGCTTAGTGATTAATAAAACATAAGTAAATATCTGGCAGCGTTTTGAGAGTCAAAAAAAAACAGACAAGCAAACAGTATACA